AAATCTGCAATAGCTCACGCTGTGCATCAAGGTGCCCTCAAGAGTCACCAGGAACACCCAGGGTGCTATGGAATCTTCTCAATTTTCAAGGGAAACAAAGGGATACACCACTCAACATCTCAAAAACTATGAGTTCCAGGTGGCTCACAGCTTTTAACAATATATTGTGCCAAGTTTTCTTTGGTAATGTCACATCTTTGTAAAGTTGTTTTTAGCAATTGCTGTGATGAAGTGCACGTATAATGTTGAAAATCAATGCAGAACAAGAAAGGAGGGTGGCAGTGTCCCATTGGATTCCAAAGTCAGAACTGACAGGTACACGTTTCTTACATTAACTATGGTTACTGAGGAGTGAAATCAACCTATCTTTTTTTCTTTCATTAGGTGTTCTATCTTTTAAAACAGCTACTAAGTTGTTATGACATCAATACTTATTAGGTTCTTTGAACCTAATTACTTAATATAAATAAACTGGTAGATATTTCTCTTGGTCTGAGGGCATGATGAAACAAAATTAGCAAGTTTAGGAACCTCTGCTCTGGAATCAAGACTCCCCATTTCATACAGGCATCTTTCCCCCACCAGCTAACTAAACCTCACTCGTCTGAATGCCGGCTGCAGCAAACCCACCCCAATTTCCACGGAAGGACACCCCTCAGTGGCCTCTTTACCATCTGAAAAAGAAATCCTCCACCTCATTGGCCGACAGCAGGCGTAGAGGAGTTAAAAGCAAGGGCTCTGGAGACAGATCCTGAGCAATCAACTTAGCCTGCCCATGCCTTCCTTGCCTTATGTTGTAAAATGCGGCTAACAATGCCCACTGTGAGCACTCCATGACAAGAGCCAAGGACACCTTCATTTCACTGAAAAAAAAATTAAAATATCTGAAATGCTTGGTACAGCTACAGTAGAGAAAACCTTTAATAGATGCTAGGAATTACATATTTATTTAGTTCTGTCTTTATTTAGAGCACGTGGCTCCTGGGATTCCGAGCTCCAGTTTATTTGGAAACCAGGCCAGAGTGTGGCTAAGGATGGTGCTAATGAGTCCCCTGGTGGCAGAGAGCTAAACTTCCTATCCCAGCAAGGGGGAAAAAGGCTGTTCCAATGTCCTTGGCTAGCAACTTCCCCCAAGTGCTCTGGGCTCTCTGAGAAAGGAGAGGGCCTGGTGCAGATCCACTTTGGACACGGGGAAGGTGATCCAGACACCTGGCTGATCTCCTGGGCCGTCCTCCCATAACTGAAGGCAATGTTTGGACAAACGCTTATTTTCCTCTTGGGCCTTTTTTTCTCTCAATATCCTTGGAAGACAGAAGACTGCCCAATCAATTTTTCCAGCCTGCAACTCCCAAGACGCTCCCAAATCACGTGACTGCTCCTCCTCTCAACCTCAGTCGTTCCCAAGAACGCACTCCCTCCCTTCGGGGCGGACGCCAGCGGCCTCAGCCCCTCGCCCCGCCGGCCCCGCCCGGCCCTCCTCCGAGACCCAGCGGGGGTCTCTAGCTGGCTCCCGAGCCCACACCTGGAGCATCTCCTGACAGAAGGCGCGCACGGAGCGCAGCGAGGCGAGGTCCAGCTCCCTGACGACGAGCTCGCCGACCCCGCCGGCGTCCGAGCCCCCGGCCGGGCAGAGGTCGCGGCGGAGCTCCCCCGCCGCCTCCTCGGCCCTAGCGCGGTCCCGGCAGCCCATGATCACCCGAGCCCCCAGGCGCAGCAGCTCCGCAGCCGTGGCGCGGCCCAGGCCGCTGTTGGCGCCAGTGATCAGCACTGTCTTCCCCTGCATGAGGCCGCCGTCCCCGCCTCCGTGCAGCCGCTGCACGCGGGCTCCCGCGAACCGCCGGGTTGCCAGCCACAGGGCCCCGCCCAATGCGGCCAGTAGCGCCGCCACGGTAGCCACGGCCATGGGGCACCCGGAAGAGGGCCCACCGCCCCCTGCGCGTGACGTCTGGAGTCCCCGCGCCGGGAGAGCCTACGCCGCCACCTGCCCGCGGAGACCTCAGGGGCGCGGCCTGCGGACCCAGACTGGGCGGCGTGGGGCATGCTGGGACTTGTAGTTTCCCTTTCGAGGGCCTCTGATTGGTTATAAGAGCATTTCCCCGTGGGTCGTGGTGATCCCGAGACGGCTTCCCGAGGGAGTGAAGGATGAGCCCTGGTCCCAGGTTTTCTGGCGGCTGCGTTTCCTCCCCAAGGACATCCCAGAGTGGTGGTGCTTTCCCAATGTGAATGCCTACTTCATACTGCGAGTTTACAAATCTCTCTCTAGGCTGGTGTGCAACTCCTACTCTTTAGGGCTGTTGGAGTGTGTTTTGTGTTCAGGGATCCTGGGACTTGTTCACCCTCCGTTCCACTTATTTTCATCCTCTGGAGAATTGTCCCTGCCCAACAAAACCTGAGGAAGGGCTCCTATATCCCCGTCACATGAGGCTAAGAGCTTAGCAACACGAATCAGTTGCAGATAGGCTAGACCAGGGGTTGCCAAACTTGAGTGTCACATCAGAACCACCTGAAAGGCTTTTACAGACAAAATAAAATTCTCAGGGCCTCAGTACCAGAGTTACGAATTCAATGGGTCCCAGATGGGACCTGAGGGTTTGCATGTTTAACAAGTTCCCAGGTGATTCCAATCTGGTCCCTGTAGAAAAAGGCGACTTCAAATGGGCTCATTTGACACTGGCAGAAACACAGCGGGAAAAGCTTGCACTTACTGTAAACACAGACTTTTGAGCAGACCGCTTCACAAGCACCTCCCGCGTCCTCCATAAGACTCTTACACGTTAAAACGGGAGGGAAAGTGCTTAGTCCACTAGAACGTGCTTCAGAAACGTCAGGGCATTTTCCCTATGGAATCCTCTCCAAGGGGCGGACTTGGTGACTTTAGACCAAATTATTGTTAGGTGGGCATTCATTCATCTGCTCACCCATCCATTAGGTGCCAGCCCCCGTGCACCAGTAGAGTCACAGAGAAATAGGGTGCTTACTGTTCGGCGCACAACATTCCACTGCCCCAGCCCCCTTCCAGAATCTTCAGGGCGAGAGGAGAGACACACAAAGTATGGAGTTTGCAATACCCCCTGCAACATTTTGACGAACTGCCCTCCACTCTACATTTGTGAAGGATCTGACATGCCTCAACAGTCACAGTGCAAAGAGGGAAGGGGAAGAATGCCGGAAGGAGGTTTCTTAGGAGTGCTGAGAATGCAGCGCAGAGGTGAGAAAGAGCAGGGTCACTGGGGATTGGACAGGGCCCTGGAACAGAAATCAGGAGGGTGGGGTGGGGTGGGGCGGGGTGGGGGGCTTTATTCCTCCTCCTATAATTTGAAGCTCGCTGCCACACTCCCCGAGCCTGGAACACATCTGTTTCCTCTCTCTCTTCAGTTTTCTCCATTCTCCGTCCTTCAAAGCCCACCTCGGTGCTTTTCATTTCCTGACCACTTCCAGCCCATGTCGGTATCTGCTTCAACCTCATGTGTGACCCTCGCTTGGCACCGCGAACAAACAGCCCTCTCGTGTTGGCTGTTTGAGCTTGCGCATTTGACTTCCTCTGTGGTATTGTTAACGTTTTCAATTTCCTCAAGGATGGGTTTCTCTCTGAGTCTCTCTTGCAGTCTTCACATGGGGGAATGCATAGAAGACACTGGGTACTCATTAGGTATTGTGACTGATATATTTTGGACTGGCTTACATCAAATTAGGAAGTAGATCAGCAGATGTATGTCAGCGGCGGTCTTCTTTAACTAGAACCAGGGTGGAAATTGCATACGTGGGTGAGGTAAGGTGGAGGCGGGGGGGTAGAACAACCAAGAGAGATGAAGCCCCAGACCTGCTATGTATCTGCTGTGAAGCTTAAGCACAGAGTTTGATGGAGTGACTCATCTGTTCAGGCTAGGTCCTATGGCCATGGAATCAATAAGAACAACTCAATTTGGAAGGTTGTATGTGTAACACAAAGAAAAACAATATGTAGCTTTTTAAGTAAATATGACCTGAATTTGACTCTTAGTCCTATGATTTATTAGCTGCTGTTCTTGCACAAGCTGCTTAATCTTTTTTGCATCTTAGGTTGTTCACCGATTAAAAAGATGGGTAACAATATTATATCACACACATTTGGTCCGATGAGAAAATGGGGTAGCTTGAAAATATCCTGTCCACTGTGCCACATCAGCTAGTAGATTATTGTTTGATAACCAACTAAGGATTTTTTAAAACAAAACAAAAATCACAAGAGAATGATCATAATGAAAGGCCAGAATACTACATTTCATGCCACATTTTGAAGCTGTGGCCAAAGCTTATTTTGCTATATGAATATTGGGCCTGTCTGCTAGGCCCAAAGCAAGAGACTTCAACACTGTTGTTCACAGGCTGTAAACCCACCAAATAAGCTTCCGAGAACCCTTCCTAGGGGGTTCTGTCTGGAGCACGCCTTAGAGGGAAAGCACCCTGTATGAATATCTAGCTGATTTATTTTGGAATGAGTAGTGTCAGAATTGGTACATATGCAAGGGGAATGACATTTTCATTTTGCATGGATTTAAAAGCTGGTCATAGGGGTAACAGACTAAAAAGTTCTAATTTTCAAGAGTGTACTTAACCCTACTCTTCCTACCTTGGAAGACCATTATTCTATAATGATGATTTGTACCAACTGTATTTACCAACATCCAGAAACGAGCACTGCTTCGTAAGATCTGGTAGGCTTCTGACATAGCCCTTTAAGCATCAAGCACATGAGTTCTAAACTTAGCCTAAAGAGTCATCATTACGACTCTTACACACAAATGTAGGTGCAATGGTATGCAACAGTGTGGACATCTCAAAAACAAGTAGCTTGAAGGTAACTTGAAGGTTCAAAATATTTTCAAAAAAATTAAAAGAAAACTTTTGCAAATGAACTAAGTTCTGAGGCCCAATCTTCTGCAACACCTAATTACCCTGGAGATCCACAAGAAGTGGCTTTTGTAATACCAGACTCACTGCTTTATTGCTCCACCCCATCTCTAGTTGTTCAATTTCTGATTAATGCCGTAAGGTACATGAGATGGGATGGTGCCAAATTTCTGTGCCCCTTCTATGTGGAACATGTGGTCATCAAAGAAGATATGGGGCCGTATTTTCACCAAGATAGGATTTTTGGGGGCTCCAGCAAGGAAAAGGGCTTCATCTATCTCTAGACCCCACCGGCGAAGGGTTTTCAGCACTCGAGCACCTGAGCTGGCTGCGCTCCTGGCCGTGACCAGGTAGGTCCTGATAGGGCAACATAACCGTTGGTCTTTGGCATAAAACTTCTTTTGCAGTCTGCCTAAATCTTCCAGAAAGCTTTTCAAGGGACCCTGTAAAAGGAACATATGCCACAGCTGTGATCCAGTGAACCGGAGGAAGTGAATGCTGAAAGAGCAGAGGCTTGTAAGAGCTTATGAAAGGGTACGATACTGCACGCAGTAGTATAAAGTCGGTGGCACAATGCCGACACGCCTTGCATTTATGTGGACATATTTCCTTATATGGAGCCATCCTTGCATTCCTCAAATAAATGCAGGATGATCCTATAATTCACTGTCTAAACAAATATTTTTAAGAGTGAAAGAAGTTTCTATTAAAAAGTTAAACCAAGGCAACCATCATAAACTTTGGATGGCAAAGTGGGATACTGTTCAGTTTATTCTCAAAAGTGCTATTTAAGTTTGCTTTTTGTGAATTGCACGTTTTAACCTTAGAAAGTATACTCTTTTATGTTGTTTCATGCCTTGTTGTCTTGAATCCAGCCTTGTCTTACATTCGCAAACAGTCTGTATATCATCATACTACCTTTTATCTTCATTCTTTCTTAACACTTAGTTTTAGCTATAATCTATCTACGGAGCACAGAACTGGATTTTGCCATGTGGTCCAATCTGAAAGTCTTAAATTTTTAAAACAAAATTTGAGTTTTAGGACATTTATATTTATTGGAATTACAAATATACATGGTAATACAGTATGATTTTTACTGTATTTTTCTTGTTTAAAATTTTCAAGTACTGTTCATGAACAAGTGTCTTTTTCTGTGTGTGCATGTGTGTTTCTTTGAAGATTAAGGATAGTTTATATTATTTCATCCTATTGGTTCCCTCAATAACCATAACTTTGTATAGTACCCTTAGTACTCTGTTTTTTAAAAATCCAGGACCTATTATTTTTTACAGTGAGGAAAAAATGAATTTAGAGTACTTCTTTACCTTTCTCTTATTCTTTCTTTTTCAGCTCTACAATTTTACTTGTTTTTGTTTGTATTGCTGAAGATTCTCATATTTGTATTTATCAGCTTTATATTTTATCCTTTGATCAGTTATCATAACTGAAGACATCAGCATATTTATTCTTCCTTAGACTGTTTTGCTCCATGGTTTTCCAGTTTTCTAGTTAAGTAATTTCTATATGAGGGCACATCAATATGTACTTTCTTTTCTGCTCCCTAATCCCTATGGTAGTTGTAGTTTTGTTTCTATGATTAGATATATTCTAGACCCATTTGTGCCTTTGTGTTTCTAACCATCTACATATTAACCAAGGTGTGTCCTCTAGTACTTATTTTGTCAAGAAAAGTTATGGAATAAAACTCCCTGAGAATAGTGTATGTTCTCAAATGTTGACCTGTTTTCTTTTGATTTGAAGGAACTTTTGGCTGGATATAGAATCAGTGATATATATATATGTTTTCCATATGCTCTTACAAGTAGCGATCTTATAAGTCTTTTCTTTAAATCTTTTTTAATCATCATTTTAAATTACAGTTTACATTCAATATTAGTTTGTATTAGTTTCAGGTGTACAGCATAATGGTTGGACAATGATATATTTTATAAAATGTTTTCTCCATTTTTCCAGTACCCACCTGGAACCATACACAGTTATTACAATGTTATTGGCTACATTTCCTATGCTTTACTTTACATGCCTGTGACTGTTTTGTGACAAGCAATTTGTTCTTAATCCCTTCACCTTTTCACCCAGCCCCCCAACCCCCTTCCCTTCTGGCAATTACCAGTCTGTTTCAAGTTTCTTTGTTCATTTCTTTTGTTCTTTAGATTCCACATGAAAGTGAAATCATATGGTATTTGACTTCAATGAACTGACTTATTTCATGTAACATAATACCCTATGGGTCCATCCATACTTTGGCAAATGATAAGATTTTATTCTTTTTTTATGGCTAAGTAACATTCCATTACTCTTTGTGGCTGAGTAATAGTCCATTGTGTAAATGTAGCACAGCTTTTTCATCCACGGGTCTGTTGATGGGCACTTGCATGTCTTCCATATCTTGGCGATTGTAAATAATGCTGCAACGAACATTAGGGGTGCCTGTATCCTTTCGAATTGGTGTTTGGGGTTTCTTCAGATATTTACCTAGAAGTGGAATTTCTGGGTCATAAGGCAGTTCCATTTTTTATCTTTTGAGCAACCTCCGCACTGTTTCCCACAGTGGCTGTTCCAGTCTGTATTCCCATCAATACTAGTGCGCCACTGCCTTTCACTATTGAGTGCCGCTGTGCAGAAGACCAAGAATAGCTGGAGTTTTCTTCCCCTCAACTTGTATGTGCAGGTTGCCCAGAAAATTACTACTTCATCTTTGAAGTCAAATAATTTTACTAGAGCATGTCTCATGAGCATTCTCTTCTATTTCCCTATTACACAATCTTTTAATAGTTTAATGCATATATGGAGATCTTCTGATAATTCAGGATCTTTTCTTGATATACATATCTCTTTATATTTTCCACATACAACCCTTTTCTCCTCCCCCCAGAACATAATTTCAGTGTTTTTCTTCAAGGATTCCAATTATGCATATTTTGGATTTTCTTTACCTGTGATCTAGTTCTCTTTTTCCTTCCTAAATTATTATTTTTCAATTCTAAACATTTCCAGAGTATTACCATTTAACATTTTACCATCTCTTCCCTCATCTTGCCTTTCCACTTCATGACACTGCTTTGTTAAGTTTTTAAAAGTCATGGTAAATGTTTAGTCGCAACTTTCACCTATACTTTGGCAAGTATTTGCCATGAGAGTTCTTCATCTGTTATTATAGTTTTCTCTTCTTTGTCTGCCTTTTTCTTGTAGTATCTTTGCCTGTGTTCTGTGCTGGTTCTTTTTTTATTACTCATCACTGGAGTAGATTGGCTTACCTAGGAGGAATTAGAGGGTTTAAGGGGAAGGCCAAGGATTGTGTTTTTTTTTTAATATAAAATCTTATTCTTTATTTCTATTCCAAAGTTATCTCTTCCTCTTTATGAGTTACTACGTTAGGTATAATTTGAAAAAAAGTCTTTTGGCCTACAATTTGCTTCTCAATGTCAGAATAATTTCCATTGATTTGATTGCTTATTTGTAACCCCCTTTTTTTAAAAAAATTATTTTATTGTTGTTCAATTACAGTTGTCTGCATTTTAAGACTATGTTGTTTCCACAATCCAAACTTTCCCTTCTTCTCTGTTGTCAGGGAAACAAACTATTTCCTGCAAACATGGCTTGTCAATGTGATCATTTATTTAATTTTGCTTTCTCAGAGGCTACATATATAGGGGAAAAAAAGCAAAAAAGTTACTTCCTAAAGGTGAAAGGCACGCACATAGGTGAAAAAGCTGTAACTCTTTCTGGGTGGAGAGCACAGTGGCAAAAAGGGTCTAGTGACTGTTGGCAGGAGCCACCTTGCTCACAGGCTGACTTTGAAACCTGGAGGAGCACAGTTCTCCTTTCTGGCGTTGAGTACCTTCCCAAGGGATACATGGAGACTGGTCAGGGTACATCATCATATTAAAACCAGGTACCCATATCATCCTTTCTTAGTTTTATTTTTGGGTATATCTTATAATTTATATATTTGTACAGTAGTTTAAGTATATAATTCACCACTAAAATGTAGAAATATGAGGGGAAACTCAAAATACTTCTGGAGGAGCTGTATGACTGGCAACATTGGAAGCTGTCTGGAGGTAGACAGCCGGAAAGACTGTTACTCATAACCTAACAATAAGAAAAAGCCAGATAGTCTAAACAATAGAACTTTTCTTGAACTCATTAGAGAGCTGAGTTATCAGGGCAACCAACTAACATGAAATCTAAGGGATACAAATCTAAGGAAAAATCTAAGGTATCTTCAAGGACAGATGGGATCCAGGGACCAGCACATCTTTGGCAGAGCACTGAAGGAAGCACACCAGACACCATATGAGCAAGTGTGCAAAATTCAGGTTATTTCAGGGAGCGAACTGATAAAGGCCAAGTGTGGGCTGATGACAGCGAAGACGCCCTGGGAGCTGCAGACACAAGAAACACACTCTCCCTTACGGGCTCCCCCCAGCGGCCCTGCGGCCCTCACTAGTCACGTGTGAGACAGTCTGCAGGCAGGGCGGGACAGCAAAGAATGCAGTCACTGGTGGTGCAGGTTTGCAGGACAGGAGCAGCTGTCACCCGGAGAAGAGACTGACATTGTCCCGTATCTCCTAAAGAACAACAGTCTCACACTGCTGAAAGAAAGACTTCACGCACAGCTACCCCCGCCCCCTCCCCAGGGCACAGGTAAAGACCCACCACCAAAAGGGAAGGGGAAAGGAGAAACTATCCCCTCCTGGGAAAGGGACAGGACACTGTTAGGGACCCAGACCATTGGATAGCTCCTATCACTGGAGGAAAGGCAAGATCAATGATAAAACTTCACCCCTAAGGTCTACAGGAATCGCCTTAGATTTGGTCTGAACCAGGACAACAGAGGGTGCCCCCCACCATCACCAAGCTAGCCGTCAGAGACCAACGGTAACATTTGGGAGAGGGGTGACGACATGGACACCCCCTCAGAGGCACAGACACAAAGGGAAGGGCTACATCTGAAAGTGGAACAGGGACAAACCCTCCAGCACCCGACCTGAGCAGTCTGAGGCCTGTGGTGGAATGAAGGTAACAACGGCAGCAATAAAAAATGCACAGCTACTTAAACTCCTGACTTAATTGTTTAAATCCATTACACTAATTGTTAGCAGAAGAGGACACCAGGCAAAAATACTATTTACCAAAACCTCTACTGTTGACACACTAGGACTGGAAATTAATCAAAGAATTCTGAGACGACACTAAAACAAAACAATCAGCTTTCAAGAGAAAGTGGTTAGCAGCAGAAGAATCAGTGATCATCTAGATGTCATGAATATGATAGGGAATTGCAAATAACTACAATTAGTATCTTAATTGAAATGTGGATTCATTGAAAGGTGGATGACATGCATGAGTAGACTTGTAATTTCAGCAAAGAGATGGAAAATGCAAGAGTTGAATTATAAGCCGGAAATAAAAATTACAGTACAGAAGTAAAACTACCTTTGATGGGTTTATCATTAGAGTTAACATAGCTGAGGAAAGAGTCAGTGAACTTGAAGATAGTTCAGCAGAGATTACTCAAGTTGAAAATGAAGAGGAAAACAGCAACAGGTTAAAAAGAACAGGGCCCAGCCTTCCTGTGGAAACACACGCATGCACACGCAGACACACACACCACTGCGTTCACAATGCTGCAATACAAGCAGACAGTCCTGAAGGCAGCCGGAGAAAAATAGACACATTACACACAGAGGACCCAAGACAGGAATTTAGAGCAATTCGTTTTCAGAATCTATGTAAGTCAAAGGACAATGAACGGATATCTTTAAAGCGCTGAAAGATAAATATGGCAAATGCAGGGAGCTATATCCAGAGAAAATAAAGTATTTTTCAAAACAAAGAAGAATGAAGAGTCTCTGGGTAAATAAAGACAGAGTTTTTGATAACAGCGCATCAGTTCTTCTGGCTGAAGGAAGGCATATGCTGCTAGGGACAAACCTGGATCTGTAAAAAGAAATAAAGATCCCTGGAAATGTTTAAAATAAAGAGGAATACAAAAAGCATATTTTTGTCTTATTCGTATTCCTTCTAAAGATAACTGATTACCCAAATTAAAAAATAGCAGCAAGGTGCTGTGAGTTTATAAGTGAGACTAAATGTATCACAATAGCAGGAAACACAGGAGGGAGAGAATGAGCACATGCTACGGTGGGTTCTTACATTACATGTGATGTGGCTTAAAACTGTCTGAAAGTAAACAGTGGTCACTTCAACTTGTATACTGTAAGTACCTAGCACGGGTAATAAGGCAAGAAAAATGAAAGACATACAGAATGGAAGCATAGAAGTAAAACTGTTTTCATTCACAGACAACACTGCCTACACAGAAAATCTCAAATCTACAAAATCTTACTGTGACTAACAAGTGATCTCAACAAATCTGCAGGATGCAAGGTCAGTATAGTGTACAAAAACAACTGCATTTCTTTATATTTGCAGTAATGAACTTGGGGCTTAAAAACTTCAAAGTATCATTTATAATAGCACCAAAAGCTATGACATATTTAGGAATATATCTAACAAAACATGTAGTATCTGTATGCTGCAACCTACAAACCACTGATGAAGGAAATCAAAGATGACCTAAATAAGTGGACAGATATACATGTCAAGACTTGATGTTTAGGTAACTATTTTCCCAAGAGTAAAATATAAATTTAACACAATCACAAAACAATGGACAAGCTAATTCTTAAATCTGTGTAAACATGCAAAGGAATCAGAATATCCCAAAGATATTTGGAAAATAATAAATTTGGAGGACCCACACCACCTGAGCTCAAGACTAACTATAGAACTACGATAATCAAGACTGTGTAATATCAGTATGCCCAACGCAGTAAAAATGAACCTTAACCAATGTTTTGTAGAAATATATAAATTAATTAAAAATAGGTCAGATTCCAAAAAAAACCCCAATTTTTATAATTTTAATAAGAATGTTATGCAAAACATAGGACGGAATTTTCATGACACTGGGTTAGGCAGAGATCTCTTAGATATGACATTAAAAGCACAATTCAAAAAAGAACACATTGATAAATTGAGCTTTATCCAAAGTATAAGTTTCTGTTCATTGAAAGATATGAGAATGAAAAGACAAGTACAGGCTGACAGAAAATATCTACAAAACATATCAAATAAAGGACTTGTACCCAGAATATAGAAAGAACTCTCAAACCTCAATAATAATAATAAAACCCCCAAACACTCCAATACAATGAGCAAGAGATTTGAACATTTTTGCCGAAGAATACATGTAATGGCAAATAAACACTTGAACAGGTGCTCAGTATCACTTGTCATTAGGGATATGCACATTAAAACCACAATGAGATACCATTACATAATACCTCTCATCGCTTAACACAAACAAACAAACAAAAAGCCACTGACAATACCAAGTACTGGCAAGTCTGGATGCAGAGCAACAAAACCTCTCCGAAGTGCTATTGGGAATGCCAAGTGCTATGTTCACTTTGGAGAAGAGTTTGCCAGTATCTTACAGAGTTTAACACATACTGATTATGTGACCTAGTCATCTTCCTCCTAGGTATTTACCCAAGACACAGGAGATCTCATGTTTACACAGAACCCTGAATGGAAATGCTTCTAGCGGCTTTATTTATTAATGCCTCACACTGAAAACCCCTAAATATCCTCCAACAGGTAAATGGATAAAGACAGTGTGGCGCATCCACAGAACAGAATACTTCTCAGCAATGCAAAGGAATAAGCTGCCGATACAAAGAATGACAGGGATGCATCTGAAATGCATTTTGCTAACTATGTCAGATTCAAAAGATTGCATGGTGTGGTTCCATTCACGACACCTTGCAAAGGCAAGACTACAGGGACAGAAATCAGATTAGTGGTTGGGGATACAAGACTAAGGATGACTACGAAGAGGCACAAGAAGGTTTTTTATGTTGAGTATTTTGAATTAGATTGTGGTTTCACAACTGTGTGTTTCTAAAAATTCTTAACAATCACTCACTAAAAATGGTGAGTTATGCTGTATGTGAATTATACCTCAAAAACTCTGATTAAAACACACACAGGCACAGAAAACACGCACACACAAATACCTGGAGGTGACTATCAGAATGGCAAGACGAGGTGGAGATTAAATCAGGAGACATCCCTTACTAGTCATGGCGGCACACTGGAGGCTTATGAACTATACTGAGAGTGGCCAAATTAACCCTCCCCAGCTGTCCCACTTGCTGATGACTTAGATCTCCTCTATGTGAGGCAATTGGGACATGTCTGTGGCCAAAGCTCATGGCCAAAATACTAGAAAGCCTTGGGGAGGCATCATACCTCGTAGCATTCTCATCAGTGGAGCACTCCTGGTAAAGCCTGGTCGTTATAGAGAAGCTATCTTTCCATGTTAAAAACAAACGGTAACTCTATCTACTGCATAAGGAAGGCAAGTGTGATTAAATAGAAATTTGTTGTGTATTCCTGCGGTCACTAGTGTTGGGTTTCTCGATTTCAATAGTTTAATGGAGTATTTAGGTGTTTAATGCAAAAAAAAAACTGATAAAAGCAAAATCTAAAAGAAATTTTAATTAATTACCTGGGATGAGAAAATGGTATTTTACTATTATCTTGAAGTAATTCTTTTTTTTAAAGATTTGTGTGTGTGTGTATGTGTTCTTTTTTTGGAGATCTTCCACATTTCGGTAATACTTAAAGGCTACTAAATGATGGGCTCTGAATTTCAGCAAAGCAGACATATGAAATATAACAAATGATATTCTTCTCAACGGCAAAACTTTGTTAATACTGAACGATTTCATAACATGTGAGCAGGTCTTCCAAAGGAGCTATTTAGGAAAACACTGTCTAGTTACACACACACAGTTTAAATATCACTTGCTACATTGTAAGGTGAGTTAGTAAAGCTTTTCAGTTTTCCGTTAGTTCATTCGTACTTTTATAAACGTAATAAAAATAATGTTTAAGTTTATCTTAAGTTCAAGAAGAGCGGGAACAAGGGTCAATTAAATTTCTTGGCAAGATTCATAGATTAAAACTGAGTGATCCATTAATTCAGATTCAGCCTGGAGAATATTTTGATTCTTCGAATTTCCTTTGGGACAGAAGTTGTGGGTTCCGTTCACTTCACACCATGACTTTAACCCTTCAACTTCAGTCTGTGGATCGATTCCAAAACGCCTACACATTCAGTTTCGTTCTGGTTAGGTTTTTTCATAGTTTGCACTGGTTCGAGGCTCCTTATTTGATTCCTCTCAAGCTGTCGGTTTTGCAGATTTTCTCAATTAAGCAATGCCTTCATTGAGTTTGAGGTTATGGACAAAGCAGTTCAACAAATGTTTACTGACCTATTGGAAGTGACCTTACTATTCTGAGAACCCGTTACTTAGAAATGGCTTATTGGTAAGCCATAAGACCTGTTACTCATAATTTAGAGGGGGTGAAGTCATTTTCGTAAGATCATAGAAACATTTCTAAAAGCCTAGATGAAAGAATGCTAAACTTAAAAAAAGTAAGCAGCAGAGGCCTCAAAATGAGGAGTTCACGAAAGAAAGGGAGAAAACTGCAAAGCATCAGAAGTGGGGAGTGGCTTGTCTAGAATAATCTAAAAGCCATCCCAGGGAACACGTACTGATATCTATTGGGAAATAAGCAGATCAAAATTAATCAGAGCTCCTGGAACCTACCTGAGCCAGACACTTATTGTCAAACACTGGGTCGTGTTGAAAGTATTTGTCCAGCCCTCGGTCCTTGGTAACGTGTTCGGACTCCTCACAGAAGAGGACGGAGTCCCCATCGAACGCCACGCGGAGCTGTGTGTCACAGTAAGCGGTGTCTTTGGCTCCATCAAACATTGTTGCAGCGGCGATCCCTGGCAGGGAGACCATGGGGACAGATTAATGTTCCTCTCGGGGCCATGATGTTTAGTTTCTACCATTAAAATAATAATAAAAAGCCACCCCAGATCTTGCATTTCCTCTGGCTCATTCTATGATGACTCCACTCCCCTCCACGACTGCACACCTCAAAGCCGTTGTCTGCACCCCGCCCCCGTTTTTGTAAGGGATGGGAAAGTGTAATATGGGTTATAAGAAGCCCACTGCGGATGTCCACTTCCAGGGAGGTCAGCGCTGTAAAAGACAAACTTAAGGGCTGCCACTTGGCGGAAACCCCCTTAGAAAAACCCAACAAGGGCATAAGCCGTAGAAACATGGAAAATCCAATGGAAGTAACCACTGGTGCAAAGCTCTCTATTAAGCACTGGGATAAAATACCTTCTATTATAGCTCTCTATTAAGTACTGGGACAAAATACCAGACGAATACCTTCTTTTATTGCCTCCTGTACTTTTTCAGAATCAGAAGAAAGATACAAGTTGGTAAGATAGGACTTCAAATAGCCCACGGGGCTTTTTCCACCAGTCAGACAGAAGCGGTCAATTAGTAAGCCTGTTATGGGGCAAGAAAGATTTCGTTATGTCAGAGGTTAAAGACATTGTACTTAACTGTAAATGTGAATGAGAGTTACCTTACAAATAACTGAGTTCCTCCTGAGGTTTTAGAATTACCTTCTTTAGCACCAGGACTGGAAAATGAAAATTACTTTCTTAGCACCAAAGTTTTATGTAATAGTAGATGCGTTTGGTGCATAATAATGTGTGAGGTCCCTCCACATGGACCTTGCCGATTTAGTCTCACAGCAACTGCATGGCAGCACTATATTTCCACTACAGAGAAGGAGACTGAGGCTCGAAGTCTTATCTGAGTCCTCTGGCTCACGCTGTCTCGGACCTTCAACCGCAGCCTCCTCACTTGCTGCAGGGGCGGGGGGCGGGGGGTGGGGAGGGTTAAAGTGTGGCTCTGTTGTAGGTACCATTTCTGTCTTTCTTCAGGGACAATACAACAGTGCTAAAAAGTTGTGCTAGGAATTGAACAACCTTCTAAAAACTACAACGAAAGGTCTGAAACTGTCTCCATTTCCTGACTTGAAATTTTAAATGGACTTGTTAGCAGACTAAACACCAATATACCATCAATGCCTTTCAAAGCAGTAACAACCTGGAAAAAAAAAGTAGTAGGTGCTGCCGAGAGGTTTGTCGAATGAACACTCAAATACACCGTGGATGAAAGTATAAATTGGCGCGAGTTGTCTAAAAACTAATTTGACAAAGTATATCAGGGGCTTTTAATAGGTTTATACCTTTTGACCTAGGATTACTTTCTTCTGGGGTTTATGCTAAGGGAATAATCTGCAACTCTGAAAAAGATTTATGCAGAAATGTGTCCATGCAGGATCATTTTATAAAAGCAACACTTTCAACAATGTGTGAATAATTAAATGAAGTGTAACCTTACACATATAAGGTTCGCACCCATTCAAAGTGTTTTTAGATATGCCCTCAACTGGGTAGCTGCATGCCATAGAAAGCAGAGTCTTGAGTGCAGCACCTATACGGACCAAGAGAGTAGATAGGATCCATTGACAGTTGTGCAAGTGTTTGTTGGGGTGTTAAACAAAATACTCTCACTCTTTTCACTTAAGCCAACAGTGGGCTGCAGTGGCACAAAACTGCATACTACAAATCTTTAATTATATTAATTTCATGATCAGAAATTATGTGGTGGCACTGGGGCCTTAGAAAAGGCTAAAATGTTGTCTGCCCTCTCAAAGAGGTGATCGTCACTGAGGAGCTGGGCTTGTAAACATAATTGTAATGTAACAGAGACTATAGCAGAGAGAGGCACAAATTGCCTTGACACCCAGAGAAGGCAAGTGACTAATTCTTCTTCCAAGTGAAAGGTTGTTTGTTATGCCACGAACAAGGCTGCTGCATGAGAAGATCGAGCTCAATCAGTTAATTAGCAGATTTAATAATGGGTAAAAAATACAGTGGGTTTTTTTTTACGTTACTACCTTTGATGGGCTCATTGTGGTGAGGGATAGGTAGACCTGAATTGGCAAATGAATCAAACAATTGCACTTTGTCGAATAACTGATCTATGCCAGTTGTGTATGCTAAACCTTTTACCTACATTCTTTTCATGTCACAGACACTATGAAGGCTGCATGTTTGACAGGCAAAGATGTTTTAAAGTATGTCACAGTAAGGTCTCAGCCTTATAGTCAGGATACCACTAAACTCATAGCTTATAATGTATCTTGATTACTTACAAATATGCCCCATTTAAATGAAGAATTTAAATATGCCAAATTTATACCTTATTTTGGCTTGACATACCCATAAAATGCTAATCAACTATTAGTGTTTTCCTCTGGATGTCACTGAAGAAAATAGGCTAAAAGTGCCTAAATGTCAGGTAATTCCATCACAGGAAGAAGGGCTGCTTTCTCTTCGAGTGCCCTGCGCATTGATGAAAATGCTATGAAGAGACTAGAGTTCATCCAATTTTCCATGTAAAGGAATCAAGACAATGTTGCCGGCCTGACTCTGGATTTGATGTGTGGGAGAGCAGCCAGGGAGAAACACAGATTTTAAGAGTGGAAAGGAGAGGTGAAACCTTTGAACCTTGAACATGTATCTGTGGTGAGCAAGCAGTTTGATCACACGGTGAAAGCCCCTGGGTTGACGGCTCCTTGAAGTCAAGTTCAGAAGTGAAAAACATAAAACAGAAATATATTGCAGGACCTGGGATTAAGACTTTGAAATTCACACTTGACAAGTTAAGTCCAGAGCTTTGGGCCCAGCTCTGTGCCGAAGTTAAAAATGAACATGGCCTCTCTTGTTCTGACATAGGCAAATAAACATTCCTCACGCAGAAGGGGGTGTCGGTATCAAAGACACTGCATTAGTTAGGCCACAGTTAGCAAAATAACATGGCTTCTCTCTCCCCGAGCAGCGAGCTGTTCCTCCACACGGTATTTATTTTACTTACCATAGTGATTGACGCTGTTTATAAGCCGCACTCCCACTTGGGCATGGTTATTAGTCATCAGTACAATATCAAATAAGTCCTGTTCATCCGGATACAGATCGTGCAGTCTCGTATTGACATGCTGCAGGGCCTGTCGGTTACAAACACGGGCGTGTGCAAAGAGGGCCAGGCAAGGCGGGTGTTGGGGGTCTGGAGAGAAGGGGTCTCATCAGTGTCAAACTCAAGCTTTGAAGACTCTTCCCTGAGAGATTAGAGCTCCTTTGAGGTGGGGTGCTGCCATTCATTTCTGTGCGTTATGCCTCTCACACACAGGACTTCACTCCATGGTTAGTGAATGTATAGGTTCATACGTATTTGTTACAATTGTTACAACATCTGGTCTACTAGCATGTTATGCTTTGTCTAGTTTTTTTTTCCTTGTTTTGTGAAATCCACCTTTCTTGATCATCTGACTTTTTGAAATGTTTCAATTACAGTTGGTATCTGATATCACTTCAAATGCGTTTCAGGTGTACAGCACAATGGCCAGACAATTATATAATTTTCAAAGTGATTCACCTGATAATTCTAGTACCTACCTGGCACCACACACACTTGTTACAATATTATTGACTATATTTCCTATGCTGCGCTTTACATACTCATGTCTGTTTGCAACTTCCAATCGTACTTCTTGATCCCTTCCCCCTTCCCCCAGCTCTCCAAGCCCCTGCATCTCCCTCACTCTGTTCCCTGTATCTACGAGTCTCTTTCCTCTTTTTTTTTCCACTTATTTCATTCTTTAGATTCCACATGTAAGTGAAATCATATAGAATTTGTCTTTCTCTGTCTGACTTCTTTCACTTACCATGGTACCCTTTAGGACCAACCATGTTGTTGCAAGTGGTAAGATTTCTTTCTTTTATACAGCCGAGTAATATTCTATTGTCTATATATCCCACATCTTTATCTAATCACCTCTTGGTGGACACTTGCATTGATGATTATTTTTTATTGTGAAAAATAATCTACATGTTAACCTTGCACAAGGGCCATGCTAATGGTCTGTTGTTCCAACTTTAGTGCATGTGTTGCCAAAACGGTGTTTGGTCTGTTTTCAAACAGGAGTCTTCAGAATAGGTGGCTGGTTTCCTCCCATGCCCCATAAGTTCTACTTACGACTGGTGGGAGTGTCCTTTGTTTCTGCCTGGTTATGATGCTATTGCATAATGTTTGTTTAAGTTTTATAGAGGATCACAGCTATAAGTGCTATACATTTCTGTATAAGTTCAAAGCACCTTACTTTATTAATATTATGCCTCTAAGTGCCAAGAACATCTTGTTTTGTTTTGTTTTTTTTCCATATGCTATGTTTGGGGCAAAAGCAGCAAAAATGAATTTCATCTTATTTTGAGGAGGCATTTTATCTCTGCTCGTGCTCACAATTGTGAACTCATTGCTTCTGGCTGCCGCTCCTTCTCGGGAGGGAACAGAGGCTTCTGTGTTTGTCCTGGCCTCCCCGTTAGGACTCCACTCAGGAAAGCTCAGCCTCTCAAATCTAGGGCTGGAATCCCTTCCCCAAGGGCCTGGTCTGGAAGTCTCTGTGAAAGCACAGTCCAGCTTGGGGTCAACTAAGAGGGCAAGAATGACAAAGGTGGCGGCTTAGGGACTATAAGGGAAGCTGGATGAGATCCCATGCGTGACCCAGGGCCTACGCACAGCAACAGCTTTGCCCAGTACCTTGATGAAGCGGAACGCGGGCCCAGGGGTCAGGATGACGTTCTCGTTGGTGAGCTGATACTCCATGTACTTTTCCAGGCCCTCTTCCTCATAGATTTTCTTGCCGTCCACCATGTTGAAGAGAGCCTGGGATGACACAGCGATGGTGATGGCATGCTTGGGTTTCGGCTGCAGACAGAGGTGCCAACAGAGTCGAGGGGGGACAGTCACATAAACCGGAAGGTATTGGGGATGGGGCTCACCCCAGGGCAGTGTGGGGAGAAAATAGCCGGGCCCTTGCTCGGAGCATTGGGATGCTGGAGACAGCCAAGGCCTGGGACCCTTCCCCCCACCCCTCCAGGCTGCAGAAGGGAGGTTTGGAAGGGATTCCCCTACCGCCTAGAGAGGACACTTGGGCCGTGGTGCTGAGCAGAGGGACGCCCAGGTACAGGGGCCAGGGGGCCCTGCTCACCGGCCGGGGGCGCGAGCAGCCTGGAGTCTTCTCATACAGTGTCTTCACCGAGGACCAGTAGGCTTCCTCGTCATCGTTCTCATCCTCCCGCTGCCGGGATAGGTCGGGTGCGAAGTCACGGTCCAGCTGGGAGGAGTAGGTGGCCCTGCGCTGGCCATAGGACTTCCATTCACTGGGGGGCGTGCGAGGATATTCCCGCTGCTGCAAGTCCCGGGCATCCCGCAGGTCCCGGGCATCCCGCAGGTCCCGGAATTCCCGCAGGTCCCGGGAGTCCCTGGAGTCCCTGGAGTCCCGGAACTCCCGCACAACGCCGTGCGCCCAGGCTTCATGACTCTCCTGCATCTTGGTGCTCCGCCTGGACTGGAACTGGGACTGAGGCTGAGACTGAGGCTGAGACGGGGAATCGGGGGTTGGGGGAGGGCTCGGGGGCTCTAGAAACACTGGGGGCGTGTGAGCCACGGGTGGCGTGGGTGGGGAGGCCTGTAGGGACAGCTCCTGCGTGGACTCTTGCTGGCTCTGGGAGGTGGATGACGCCTGGGAGGTTGTGGAGCTTGTGGGGACCTGGAGCAAGAAGACGGGCGTCTAGGTTACAGGATCGCCTGGCATCCCTGTCCCCATCTCCAACCGGAGTCAAGGAGAAGGACCAGTGCCCTTTCCTCTGTTCATTCCTACCCCTTAATTGGATCCTTGTTCATCTCAGCCCTTTTAAGTGGGGCTTAAAGGGGCTTAGGCATGCCAAGTCTCCAGATATTAGATATTTCTGTTAAGTGGACACAGACACAGTCTGCTTTCACTTCCCCTTAGATCCCCCATCAGCACGTCACTTTTTTTCTTTTTCTTTTTCTTTTTTTTTTGAGTAGCTAGGTCACAGGCCCTCTTTCTTGCCCTTAGGTGGATGGCACACAGATTGCAAAGTTCTGTCATGTGACTTCTGTAATGTATACCTGCCCAGGTAGCGACCTCCAGGTGGGCTTGCGTAAGGGACCTTGCTTGCCCTGCCTCCATCTGTGACCTCCCCATGAGCCACTAGACCAGGCGTTTCCACCAGAAGACTCTGCAGAGCACCTTGGAGACATCTGCCTCCGCATTTGCCCTGTGGTTCAGGCAGTGCTTGCAGGGAGGTCCTTAGGCTGGAGAAACTGGTGTCCCCCAGTCTGTGGACTTTGTGTGTGTGGAGCTCAGCTGGAGAGAAGGAGCCATTCCAGAGAAGGGACTCCTGGACTAAGATGTACAATAAGTCATTAAGTGTGCATATATTATTTCCACTTTTATGTCCGTTTCACGTGTTCTGAAAGGCATTTTCTTGGCTAGATGATTGAGCCAGTCTCCACAGAGACAGATGGACTGGTGGGAATTCATGTTTTCCCAGTGGCTGCATGTGTGCCGCTCTCTCTGCAACCCACCACTTAATCCGCAAACCAACTCTTTCTTCTTACGTGGCCAGGCTTAGCGTAACACTCTTCAGCAATTTATCCTCTTTGTTGACCCTTCTACACCACCCCCTTCTTAGTCTTGAGTACGCAATCATTCCTGAGTGAGGGGAGAAAGGACTGAGCAACCACAGAGTTTAATCATGAAGTGTAGGTATGGCCTATAGATGTTGTGACCTGGGGTTGTAAACTAGCTCTGGTGGCATTACTGGTGTGAAATCTTAGGCAAGTTGTTCTGTGTTTCTTTCAGCTGTAAAACAGGGCTCAGAGTGGGAGCCTTGTGAGGGCTCAACGAGCTGAAACATATAAAGAAGGTAGAATGGGCTGACAGGTAGAAAGCATCCATACATGTTAACCGTCATCATTATTGGTGTTATTCTTACTATTATTAGTAGCATTATGCTATCACGCCCTCCATCCTTCCTCTCCCTCTCTACCTTAAGACTGGCACTCTTGCTTCTGGGCTCCTCTATTGATGGGGCTCTGACGGATGGGCTTCGTGAAGTTCCCGACCACTGGTTTCGCACGAGGTACCCTCGAGAATCTGTCTTCGGCAATGATAGTTCTTGTGATCCCTTTTGAGGAGAGAAGAGACCCTGGGGTATAACACCCCACCATCCACTCCTCCAACGCATGTGCCTGCAGAATAGCCATGCCAAGCTAAACAGCGGCACACACTGAGAAGATCCCTGGCCACCAGGACCCTTAGTTCAGTCTTGGTCCTTGAGTACTAACTAGTCTAGCTCTGGCCCAATCCTCACTTCTCTGGGAAGCAACAAAGTGGGGAATCTACCTGGAAGAGCATTCAAAACCAAGAAACAAATCTGGTATCTCATATTTTTTCACCTGTCATTCTTACATGATACTTAGTAGAGCTGACCGTTTTTCTTCCCTTTTCCCACTTCTTCCCTTAAGGATAAGCCCGTTAACAGATGCTAAAAAGACATATCCACCATTTTTTAACCAGAATACAAAGATGAGGGCAGGTGGGCCTAAACAAGGCTGCAACAGGACTCCAAGGCAGCTATGTAAGAGCAACTGGAGCCCTCCGGAAGGAACGACGTGGAAGGGGACCACGGAGAAGCGAGGGGAAGAGTTTCTATGCCCCACACCCTTCCCCTCACCCAGACTGCCTATGGCTCCCCTACAAAATCAGTAGTTCCATCTCTGCTCACCCTGATCATGGTGATCTGCTGGCCCTGTTCCCACAACAGGCACATGTGAATATAAATACGTATTGTGCGGCAGGGGCCAGGAAGGACTGTTCCCTCAGGTGCCCTAAGGCAGTGTCTACACGCCAGGTGACAACGCATGGGGCAACATCTCAGCCAGTGATTCGGAATGACTGCATGCCTCATCTGAAAGATTGTGCAGAAAATGGTCAATGCCATGGCCAGGCTCCCCTTCCCTCCCTGATCTGAACAAAGACCAGTCTCCTCCCATAGGCTGAGCAGAGGAGGCAGCTGTGGTTTCTACACCATATTTTCTACGTGAGCACGGGCATGAGTACTACAGGGAAGGCAGGGACCAGCTTCTCCTAGCTATTCCTTAACCTCTCCGCGAGGGGCATTAGGAACCCGTAATACACACCTTGGTAGCTCAGTCTCCCAGAACACCCTGCCCCCAATATTTTCTATTACCTTTCTGCTTTTTAATTCTCTCGCTGACGATGAAAAGGTCAGCTCACCTGAGTTCTCACACGAGCTCCTGATTTGTCAGACTCCCGTCTTTTCTCTGATTCTAGACTTTCTCTTGAGTATTTCGTTCCAGACTCATTCTTAATATAAAAACAAAGAATGTTTATTAATGTTAATCTCAGGGGCATCAGAAACCCGGCACTTGGGGATAAAAGGATAAATTAATATTAGCATCTGTCTCTTTGCCAATATAAAAAAATAGATAAAGTTTGACATTATTTTTTGCCTTGTTCTCCTAAGCATGAGTAAAAATAACACACAAAGAACTATATAAATTATGTTAAGGTAGAAATTTGGTGCTTTGTAGATTGAAGACGTGAGGTGTTTATCATTTAAAAAATTACAGTATGGGATATGCCGTAGGAGAATTTTCCAGGGGCCAGCAATACTTGGGTTTACATGTGAGGTTGCTGACATAGATTACCCCTTTCTTTCCTCCATTACTCTGAAGATTGCCACTCAGTGGAACTTTAACTTTTGCCATGCAGAATTGAAACTTCTCTTATTTTCTTAATAAACCATAGGTCCAATACTATGTGGATCTAAGCCTCACTGATATTAGTCTGATTTTTAAAATGAAGGACCTTAATGCTATACTTAATCCTTAAACCTATTTGGATCTATTGACAGGCATGCCTTCTGTTCATAGTATCTAATTACTCATAATATGCTAATAGGGAGACGGTGCAGGAGAGCACAAGAAGACGACTCACTTGATGGACACCTATGCAAATGACTGTTTTCACTTTCAAGTGAGAGAAATACTATTGTGTTGGATCACCATTTGTATTGTTCATGCTGATTTTGTAGCTGTGATGGGATCAAGATGAATATTATTTCTCTGTTGAAGAAGCTCAACTTCTAGCTTAGACGAAGGTGTTCAGGGGCAGTCTATTCATTTCTTGATGCTCTGTGCCTTAGGCTTAGGAAAAATCTGACCAGTGTTAACTGAACGATTGTTAGTCTGTGGCAGCAGAGAATGGCATGGTTGTGTGATCCTGGAACTAATCCTACAGTTTTTCATCAACCCCGCGTTATCTCCATGAAGTCCTGGCACTTGTAACTTCAAAAGATATTCTAAACCCATTCCTTCTTCTCCATGCCTGTCATCATTGTCTTGTTCCAGGCCTCAGATCATCGTGGGTGTATATTCTTAGAACATAGCCCTTTGATAGGTCTCAAGGCCTCAAATCTTCCCCACTTCTGGACCCGTCCACCCCATGGGGGTGGTATTCAGGGTGATATTATAAAACATGAATATAATTATGCTTCATTTCTGGATACACTTTTCAGTCACTTGGACAGACAGACTGGGAGCCTTCTGACGTGTCCTGTCTTCCTCCAACCTGTAGGCCCTCCACTCTCCACTTCACATTCTTCTTTGCCTAGCGACTTGCCTGTGTCTATGTACCATTTTGTTTTCCTGTAGCCCTCTCATCCCTTTAATATCCTTCAAACCCAGATCAGTGTGACCTGGGAGAAGTCCCCGGAGTTAAGCATTCCTCTGCGTTGGCTGTGTCTTTCGTACATGCTTTCACTGAGCACTGCATTGTACTTGGTATTTTCTTTCCTTCTTGGTGTGCATTCTTCAGAGGTAGCCACTGTGATTTTACCTCTTACAACTGACATACGAGCATATACTCAATAAAGGCTGACTTACTGGTTTGACCTACACTACATGCTTTAATCTCCTTCTTCTCCATTCTCTTCATTTCCTTTACTTCCTCTTCCATTTTTTCTACATGTCATGATCATCTGAAATGGTTGAATTATTTCAGAGAGGTTCCAGAAGTAAATGTTGGACTGTCGGCTACTTTTTCTTGGCTCTTTGGCAAGATTCTAGGATGTTTAATTCACTTACCTTCCTTTTCTGTTTCAGAGATGTTTGACTCATTTCTTTAACTATTGGAATGCTTTGGTTGTTACACAGGTGTTCATCTCCCCAGCTCCATTTCTTGTTGTTTCCGTTGCCCAGTCCAGGCTCGTGTGTGGAATGTCAAATTGATGACATCACATGTGATTCCGTAGTAACAAACTGACTCTGAATACATTACTATAAAAATATCAATATTCTTTATTCGTATTTGAGTACATCTGTTTTTTTCTAGGAATTGATGTTGAAACAATGTTCAAATATTTAATATGTAGCAGTATTACTATGACTGATCCTTCTTTTTAAATCTCTTCTTAGCATTTCTAAGTCGCCAATGCATCAGTTCCATTTGTGACTGGACATTTTCTGGTACTGCCAGAATTAATGGCGAGCTCATTTATGGGCCAAATCATGTATTATCATTTACCCTGACAGATTTTCGGGAACTTTCTGCAAATCTGGAGACTATTTTTGACAGCTGAGATTTTTTCTAAATATGGAGCATAGACTTGAGTTTAGTTTTAGTGTTTGGTATTTCTTTCACAGCAATATCATTTCCGTCTCACAAGGTCGCAGCAGTTTCCCCAAGGCTAGACCCAGTGTGGTAGATAAAATGATCTTTGCCCTGTCTTTGCTGCTGTCTGTGCTGTCCTTAAAAACTCAGACACACACGTGTCCCTCTTGTGTACACACGGAGAAGAGTATATAAAATCCAGCACCCAACTTGGGTTTATAGGCTTCAGGGTTGTTCTGCATTTTCCAGTTCTGAGTTTATCTTCACTCAATTCCCGTGCCACCCTGAGCTGGTCAGACCATCATGGATTCAGTCGCATTTCTGACCTCTCTTCATGGGACTTGATGTCTTCGTTTGAGTATCAGGAGAAGTTTGGGGCAGCTTTCATCACAGTCCTCCGAGGGGTCGTCTAGGTAGTAAAACATGCAGTTTCCACGTGCGACTGCCTGGGTCCTGTCACTTCCTGTATCTCACCATGACCCCCGGCAGGTTGTTTAATTTTCGTAAATCTCAATGTCCTCGTTTGTAAGATGGAGATAAGAATGGTATCAACATCAAATGGTAGTTGTGATAGTTGGCATAATATGACATCATGAAGAGGGACTGGCATTCATAAGTTATTAACCAATGTTAGCTATTTTATAATTTTGCTACAGCTATCTTACAGAGTTCAAGTCGAAACATCTCTAATCTGACCCCCACTACACTCTAGGAACAGAATGTTAAAATCAGTATCAGTTATTCATATACTTCTACAACCGAACAAATGTCAGCTTGGTGATTCTTCCCGTAGCATCAGGGACAGAGCAGGAAGACAGGCGCGGACGTAGCAGTTGGGAGCAGGAGCTGGGGAGCCCGAGACTTGAGTTCTCCGAAACAGGACGGGCACATGTGCAGAGAGCGTTCTCCACCCATTTTTGGCCAATCTTTCTGACCCTTGCCCTGGTTGCCGAGGGGAACATCCCCTTTCCCCTGGCAGTGCTAAGAGGATATTTTAGAGTAATTTGTGGGACATGGTTCCTACCTGGCCATTTCCCTACTATTTATTTTTTTGGGAGGACTTGCCATACTAGTTCAAAATTCCTGGAGACACTAATGGGAAGGTCGCTCAAAGAGGAGGGGATGCCATTCAGAATTCACCAGTGAAGAAGAGTCGTTTTGGAAGTTCCTATTTCTTGAGTCAGCCCATTTTGATTACCCACGTGACTCAGAGGTTGCTGTGGATTCAGGGGGCCAGAGAGCTCTCTCTGTGTGGGACGCTGCGGTGAAATGGGTTTGATGGATTAGGAAAGAAAAAAATGCAGGACACTTGTACTTTAGGAAAAAAATTATAAAAACTTTCCTTGAGTGAGATTTAAAGGGAATTGTGGTCTATAAAATATAAGGCCTTGAAAAATAAAAGTGCCACTTAATTTTTGTGTAGGTTAGGGCTCTGAGCTTTAATCCTCTCATCTGTAAAATAGGAATCAAATGCATTATACATCTCAGAATTTTATGTAAAACTTGGATAAAAATCACACAAGTACAAGCACACAGCACAACTTATAGTCGGTTCTTAACACATGCCTCCAAGATAATTTTTGTTTAAAAAAATTCTGCACATGGAACAGGGTGGGTAGGTTAACTGTAGGATTTGCCAAAGGGCTTGACAGTCGGGGGGACTAATTAGAAAGCGGGGACCACTGTCTCATAAAGGCCTGGGAGCGTAGTGCCAGTGTGAAGTCAGGGTCTTGCTCTTTTTAAGAAAATGATGAGGAGTTTTTTCCACTTTTCATTTAGCTTAGCCGAAATGGTCCATGTTCACCTTTTTTTCCCTCCATCCTGCCTTCAACACTCACTTTCCTAAGTAAAGTTAACAAATGATCCCATTTCTGCCCTTCGTAACAGCCATTAGCAAGAATGTTCAACACTCACCAGCATTAACCAAACCCTAATTAGCCAAATACTGCCTGCCACCCTTTACAATGCACACCTTTCTTCCCCCATGCCTGCTACGGCTCTCCTAAAAGAAACATTTGTAGAACTCCCCTCCTTAGCCCACTCTCCCTCACATCATTAATCAGCTGGCTACGCCTCATCCAAGGGGGGAAAAAAGTGATCCAGTTTCCTGCTGAATGCCGGCCAGATGAACAAGTGCTAAGTCGGACTTCAATGTGCGCCCTCCTCACGGTCACGGCACACCCACTGCTGCACCTGGGGCTGGGGACTCATCCTGGGTTTCTCGGAGGCTGTTTTTACCTGTCCTGTCAGGTCCTGCATGATGTCCTTTGGACTCTATGCAAGCCCTGAGTGGAGCAAAGCAGGCCAGTCCCTCCTGGGACCTTCAGCTTACTGTTTATCGGCTGGCTCAGAGAACTCATGATCCACGGCACCAAGGGGACAGAGAGACTTTTTGTATTAGGTAGCCTTATTGAGAGAGAGAGAGAGAGAGAGAGAGAGAGAGAGAGAGAGAGAGAGAGAGGGAGATGGCCACTGCTATGCATTGTCCCCGAGTTGTTTCCTGCGTGGAGGTGGCAGGCACCAGGAGCTCCCAGGCCGTATGCCCGTGTTCTTGCGATGGGCGACACGATGCTGGGAAACACCTCTGTGGTCTGCAGGCCTGGCTTTGAACGTCCGTGCCGCCGCTGCCCAGGGGTCTCTGCAAGTGGCTTGGCCTCACAGCCCGTTTTCTGGTTTGTAAGATAGGAATGACAATAATACCGACCGCGAAGGAAACAAGGGATGTGGAGGCTGAAGCAAAACGCCTGGCACAGAACAGGCACTCAGGAGCCATCCTCTTCCCAGATCCCCTGCCTCCTGGTTCACCTGCATAAACAAATCTGAGGGACTTCGGGGAGGGTTTTATCTGGACCGTGTGACCACCTAGGGAGGGCCTTGCCCTGAACTCCAGTGCCCCATGAACAGGAGACTGGGAGTCTTGTCTCTTTGTTTTCTTTTGGCCTGTTTTTTATTTGGGGTCTGTGTGATTTCCTGGCAACAGCTCCACTGGCGGTGAGAAACTATGTGTGTTTGCTATTTGAGGAGCAAGCAGCTTGTTTCTAGAGGTTCCCCTCCCCAGTGTTGTTGCAAAATGTAGGTCAGTGATACATGTCCCTCCGTGTAGCACAGCGCCAAGTAGAGTCCCAGGTCTAGTGCAGCTTGGATTCTGTATTTTTGGTGATGCGTGTGGACAACATTGGCTTTTATGATATTTTTCAGTTTTTTGAAGTTGGGTTTCAAGACCGATTGACTTTCCTCTCTTTTCTGGTTAGCCCCCTTGGCTGCCACTTCCTTTTCCCCAGTGAAACAAAGCTTCCTTCTGCTCCTGCGTTCCTCCTGCTGTGAGGGGTACCCCCATTTTCCTGGTAGCTCAGGGTAAATCCTGAATTTTTTCCATGACTGCTGCATCTGCCTCCTTGTCACATCCTATCATCGGCATCTTTTACTTGAGTTTCTTAAAATCCTTCAAAACCAGCCATGTCCTCCCATTGTCCCTGCTTTAGAAAAGTAGCCTCAGCCCTGGCTGGCGTAGCTCAGTGGATTGAGTGCAGGCTGCGAACCAAAGTGTCGCAGGTTCGATTCCCAGTCAGGGTACATGCCTGGGTTGCAGGCCATGACCCCCAGCAACCGCACATTGATGTTTCTCTCTCTCTATCTCCCTCCCTTCCCTCTCTAAAAATAAATAAATAAAAGCTTTAAAAAATGTTAGTTAAAAAAAAAAAAAGAAAAGTAGCCTCAGTGGGGATATCTGGGTATTTCACCCAGCACTAAATTTCTTTTTTACTAATGCAGACAAGAGAGTTTTGAAACGGCCAAGCTAGTGGCTGCTTTTACTGGAATTGGATGCCCCTTGATGCTCCTATAACATCGTGTACATCCTGCTATTATCAAGCACGTTGCATGACATTTCATCATTTATCCATCTGTCTCCCCTGCAACACCTTGATTCTGTCCTGTCCTCTGATGCGTGGTACTGCTGCCCTGCTTCCTCACAGGCCTCTGTAACTGTATCTGAAGGAATGTAGGATGGGTAACTAACTTCTGACGTGGGGCTTTCCCTCCGCTAGGGCACATTTAGCCCATTCACCTCCAGGCCTGACCTGACAATGTGAAACTGTGGTATAGAAAAGAAGGGGCTCATTTCTGAAACCGGATCTGCAAGGCAACGGATAGATTCTAAGCAAAAACGTATACCAAGAACCTTCTAGGTGCCAGATGAGGTGCTTTATGTGTTTATCTTATTTCAGTTTAACAATGACTCAGTGATGAAGGCAATGGGAATCTCACTTTGAACATGCAAGTTTCACGGGAGGTCAGTAACTGTCTGAGAAAAAGAAGGCATCAGAATCCAGACTCTGCTTGTTCTGACTTCAAAACCGGAACTCTTTTTGCTATGGGACTGCCCTCCAGAGTTTGGGTGGTATCAGTGCTATGCCAGCTAGAAAAATCAAGATGAGATAGAACAGAGAAGTTAACTCATCAATGAAATTTTGTGGAGTGGCATCACCAAGACAAGGGACGTGATGAA